CTGACTGGAAAGGCTGTGGCAGGCCACGGGTGGGTCTACGAAGAGATAGATCCAGGGCACACTTTCTGCTTCACACACCTGCAGCCACAGGGCCTAGGAGTGCGGGGCCATGGAAACGGGCTTCTGAATTTATCTCAAACAGGACTGAAAACAAAATGGCTTAGTCTACTCCTGAATGAAAATGGAGCCATATTTTTAAAAGAATAGTAATGCAGGTTGGATGCTTTTAAAGATGTTGTTCTGAGCCAAGTGTTTCTGTCACTTTTCTTAAAACTAGAGAATGCCTATTAAAACAATTTATTTCCAACTAACTTCTTCCCACTTTTTCCACCCAGGTTAAGGGGTGATGATGAGCTCTGGTTCAGTAGTTGAAAGCTCGAAGCATTTCTCAAAAGGCAAACAGAAATTGTTATATTAAGTTACCATGAGTGTGCTCTTGAGTATTTAAGATAATTTAAGACATCTGTAATAGTGTCAACAATATAGTAAAAATAAATTAAAATGAATAAAGATAAATAAGTAAAAGAATGTGTAGAACTCTTGGATAAGCAATTAGCGGAAACCACCCTTCTGATGTATAAGATAAATGTTAATGATTTTCTAACTACAGACTAAGATGCACCAGTCATGCCTACAACCCTAAATTACAATGAGAAGTGGGTCCTAATTAATCTTTGTTATAGACTGAGAACAAATGTTCTGGGACAACAACCAGGCAGGCTTTCTTTATCATGCAAAACCGCTTACCCTTGTCAGCACTTTTTACTATAGGGGCTACTGATGGGGCTTAATCACCGAAGCGGTTAGTGCCACGAGGCCAATGACATGAGTGACTGGTTCTAGGCAGATTTCCTGTAATCAGTGGGATCAAACAGGCTTTGTTAATATTGCTGTGTCTTTGTTTAGTCAAGCTACTTTAGGCAAAATGATGTAAGGTTGCGATTTCTACTCAATGTGTTGACATTTCATAATGTGTCTCCAGTCACTCTTGATGGAGTTGGGATACGGTGGCCATGGTTGGCACCAACAGTATACACACACTTTAGACTCAGCATATGCTTCCTGTCTGAAACAGCACATCACCCCCAACCCCCTTTACTTTCCCTTTGCCCAGCTTTTTCTTATTGCACCTATTATTTTCAGAAATTATATTACTTTATAATATAACATAATATTCTATAATAAAATACATATTTCTTTTTTGTCCCCTCCCATAAGAATGTAAGCTCCACGAGGGCAGGTGCTTCAGTTTATAGATTCTATCTGCCATACTCATCTCTGCCTGGCTTGTAGTAGGTCTTCCATAGACACATTAAATAAACTTCAAGAAATTCACTTGCTAAAACGAATAGTCAATAGAAGTTTTTAATACATCTACATACTGTAATTTTACTAAGTGAGAATAAGTTCACAGAACCACTTATTTAAGTGATATAAGTGACTTAATAAGTAAATAACCACTTATTTAATATATTTCAGTAATTTATGTTTTTCAGATTTAAAAAAATGGATTTGGTTGATTGTACTGTTCTAGCTTTCCCAATGTGGTTTAATTAAATTTAAATCTTTTTAATGCTGGATATCTCTGTCTCTCTCTCTCTCTATAGGGGAAGAGGAGAAGAGGAGGGGGATAGGAGGAGGAGGGGAGGGAGAAAATTTCTCTTTATTTAAACAAAAAGAGAGAAAGGGTCACTTTCCCTTCTTTCTCCATCCTCTGTGGCCATAAAGTCGACTCTCAGGTTCAGATACGTCACCCCTGTAACCTTCCTCCCCAGTGACGGGGTGTCAACAGCTCCCTCGGGGCACTGGCTCAGAGCCAGTGAAGGCCTGTTGAGCTTGACAGCTTCACCATGACAAGATTCTAAGTTTCATGATACATAAAGCTTCACACACAGTAGCTGCATTCTGTAGTCAGAAATCAGTCTTGTGTGTGACCTCCCTCAGAGCTTCTCACAGCCACTCTACCTGTGCCATCCGAAAGGGATCGGACTTAACTCTCTCATTGGCCTGGCTCCTCCTCACACCCCAGCTGGAGCTAGCAGGGTCTAACTGTGCTTGAGTCGACTTGGCTTAGAGGCAAGGTGAGTACATTAGAATACTCTTCTAGCTGGGTTGAGTGGTAGTTATCTTGTGAATCATGAGCACCTTCACCATCTAAACTATAAGCAAATATCAGTATGGTAATCACTTCTTTCTTTCCTACAGAGAGGAAAACTATCTCAGAAAAAAAATGTTTTATGCATTGGCAGAACCCTGCTTCATCTAATTTATTCGTCTCCAACATTGGATTAATACTAACTGAACTCTTAAGAAATACTCACACACAAGGATATTCATCAGCATTCATTTGTGAAAACAATAGTTCAGTAAGACCTGGCCATATGCCAGAAAATGTCTCCGATTTTGTAATGGCTGTATCATTGGCAATACACAAATACCGGTGACAGTAAGGGAGGAAAACTTTTTCTTTCTTCATTCCTAGGTAGGCTCTTTAGTTCATCTCAAGATTAAAATGACATGAGACATTAAAAAAATTAATTTTGTATGTACGGGAGCTCATAGAAATATGAGACTCAAAGTCACCAAGCAGGCAGCTTTTATACCATTCAGACAAAGAAACAATACATTTGTGAAGAATTGACAAGGCAAAAGGGCTTGGGTTTGAGATAATTAATTAGAAAAGAAGTAGCAACGTTTGTGTAGGCTTTTTGGTCCAGAATTCCCTATTTCTGGAGATAAGGATGTCTTTTCTACCTCCTGCTACAGGCAGATTTCACATGGGAGATTTATTTCAGGAGGACAAAGGAGGGTCAGAATGTCCTTCTTGCGCTTGCCATTTCTTAAGTAACTTTAATTCAAAATAATCAATATGCCAAAATGGAATATTGTTACTGACTAAAGGGGGTCCATTTAGCTGTGTGCATCAAAGCTCAGTAAGACACGAACAGGACTTTGCAGCAAAGAAGGCAAAGGTTTGTTTTTAGGAAGTGGCCCAGTCCAGAGACAGGTTAGCAATGGCTCAAAGACCTGGCTTCCAGAGGATGGGTTGTAAGGGAAAGGTCATTAATCATGGTGACCGAGGGAGTTAGGGTTGTGGTCTCTGAGGGGGCAGCTGACCAGGGCATCTGGTCCTGATGTCAGCCAGGACATTGCCATGCTTTGGTTGCTTTTCTGGGCCTGGAGCTGAAACAAAACTGACGCCCAGCTGTCTCTGGCATCAACAGACTGGAGACTTTGTTCCTAAGATTATTTGATGCTGACTGGAACCTCATTGTCCTGAGGGCTTAACAGTTAAGAGAGTGGTCCTGCAAGGGAGAATGCAGCAGGTGAGTCAGGGTGCTGGGTGAGGCCAGTTTGAATCAAAAGGAAAGAAAGGAGAAAAGACAGTAAAGAAATGAGGTTTCCACGTGGTTACAATACTTTGGGGCAGCCTCCACTGAGGACTATCAGTCACCAAATCTTGTTTCTCAGACACATTGGCTATAGCAGTGGTTCTCAGCCGGGGTTGATTTCGGCCATCAGGGCACTGTCTGCAGGCATTTTTTTGCTGTCACAACTGGGGAGGAGGCTACTGGCATCTGCTGAGTTGCTGCTAAGCATCCTCCAATGCACTGAAGGGGACCAGAATGTCATCCCAAAATACGCAACTTTGGCATAAGAATTATTTTGAATTGAAGGCAACTGAGGTCCAGCAGAAGCAGAAAAAGCTTTTTATCTCCCCATAACTGCCTAAAAATAAAGAATAAATTTTCCCCTTTTGTAAAGTATATTTATAGTTATAAAGAAAATTTCCATTTGTAAAGATGCCTTTATACTAGCGTAAGAGCTACTCCTGGAGACAACTTGTATCAGCTGAGAAACTTACCTGCACTACCAGACAACCCTCATTAACACACTTCCTTCTCTCACCCTCCTATATAACCTGCCTCTCCTGGCCTAGAAGCTCAGACCTCCTTTTTCTTTGGTTAGCCTATGATGGTATTCATGAACCTGAATCCTCCCCACACTTCCTAGGGTCTCATTTCTTTTGAAACTCCTTAGGCAGAGGTATGTACAGTTTTCTTTTTCTGTTGTTAATCTGTCTTTTATCCATTTGAGTCGCAAGCTCCAGCAACTGAATCTAGGAGGGTATAGTAAAATGTTTTTCTTCTCAATAGCACAGGACAGTCTCCCACAACAAAGAATTATCTGACCCAAAATGTAAACAGAGCCCAGGTTGAGAAACCTTGCTCTGTACCAACAGAGGACAGAAATAGAAAGCATGAAAAGTCAGCACGGTGTTTGGGGGTTTAGTATCTTAAGCGAAGCCAAACAAATTCTCCTTTTTGGCTGTGAGTCTTGGACATATTACTAAGAACTTCAGTGTTTCAAACTGTGCTTAATAAAATGTCTGTGGGATGAAACAGATGGGGTTTCTTCCTGTCAGTCCACCAGGTACAGAACTGAGCGTTACACCGCTGTCTCTCGCTGGCAGGACATGGGTTTTGGTTCAACTCCAAGGAAGAAGAAATCATGAAAGTTTCGGCAAATCACAATGCCAGTAACACCTGTGTTAAGTTAGGAAACAAGGGGACAGAAAACTTGGGGGGGCATTCTTTGCTTTTTATTTTTTAAAATAAAGAGATAGAGTGGTGGTATGTAGGCTAAGATTAATGTCAATCAGCTCAATATGCAGCAAGTACAGCTGCAAATCCAGAGACCATCCTCCTGAATGCGCAGTGGGAAAGGAGGAGCTGCCTGGCTCCAGTCCCAGCTTTGCTCCTCCTGTGCATAACAGGCAAGTCTTAGACCTTCTCTGTAAAATCAGGAGCTGGCCTGCACTCTGTAGGACTCCCTCTAATTCTGTCATTCTCATTCAATGGCTTCTTCACCACCTTCCTTGGCACATAAGGACTATGACAACTCTGCAACAGCAGGCCAGTAAAGTACTTACGTGGATTTGCAATAGTGCTGGTAGAAGAAATAAAGAACCAAAGGGATACATGCAGGTCTGTATAAATGGGAAAACCTTTAATTTGATAACTATTTATTCAATACTTATTTCCTGAGCATCTCTTCTGAATAAAGTATACAAAGTTCTTTATTTTCTTTTTTAAACTTTGTTTTAAATGAACCTCAGAAGTTCTTTGAAAATCTATTTCCAAAGATTTATGGCAGTTAACATCCAATTTCACCAACGAAGTCCCTCTCTGCAATCCACCCAGGACAGATGGGTCTCTACTAGCTAACATCTTTCCAAGTGGTGCTGACATAGCACATATTTGAATATTCTTCTCTGTGGGAAATAGAGACGTAATGTGTATACTTATCTCAACCTGCTACTGTGACTTTCTTCACCACCTTGATTTTTCAAAGATTTGATATTAACTCTTCTCTTACAGAAGAATGCAAGCAAGTAAAACTTAAGACTTCAATGAAGTGCTCTCATTCTGTAGCTCTGGTTTTTGTCTCTGTAATCACTGTTCGCTGGGCTGACTGCTGGGAGGCCTCCCATGTGCTCCGTGCTGCTGCGGAGAGGAATGCTTCAGCTCCTACAGTTACATCTTCAAAAAGGCCACCTGGAAAAGGAAGGAAACCCCCAGTGCTTTACTTATATAACATGATGAAATGGCTGAATGCACATCAGATCAGAATCAGGTAAGTCTGGTCAATAAGGAGACATGCTGATCTGAAAGGAAAAATGGCTCTTTGGCCAGACATTGCTATTTTACAGAAGGAGCCAATTAGTTCTTCAAAAATGAATCTTAGAGTTATTCAAACGATTTACATGCACTTAAAAAAATAAAAGTTTTAATTGACACTAAAGTTATATTGCTGTGAAGTAACCCAGTTCTCTTTCCCATTGGTTCAAACAGCTGCCTGGACCTTCCGTGAGCAGAACACTGTGTCCTAAAGATTCCTGGGAAATTCCAGCCCCTCATCACTATCAGTAATTACAACAGCCTCTCCTCAGGTCATGCCAATTCTTTTAGTCACTCTCAATTACACTTATTGTGCTTGTCAGCAGCAATCAATCTTAAAACTTGGTGTTTAAAAATTTTTTAATTCATATAGGCCTAGCTACAAAACATTTTCAGACTACTTAATAAGGCCCAGATCAAATGCATCTAATTTCACCATTATTCTAAATAAAAGAGAAACAAATATAACAAAGCCAGTCATAAGTAGTTAGAAAGTTTTAGTTCAGAGGTGATAATAAATTGGAGACTGTGCCAATATTAGGCAGAAAGCGGGGTGCAGACTACAGATAAAGATGGGCAAGGGTGGGGAGGTTGGAAAAGTCATCCTAGGGTAGGCCTTTTGGGGGAAGTAAAAGCATTCTACTCTTGGACAGCTGGTTCTTCAGTCCCCAAATGCAGCTGAATGAGGCATGTATTTAATGAACCCTGTTAAGGGGAGAGGGAAAAGGAAGAGTCATGCAGGGCAGAAAGCATCTGCTTTATGTGGAGTAATTCAGAAGGATGTTACTCTTCATACAGTGCTGGTAAGAAAGGCACCTGCTGTGTTTCCATATCAACTTCCTGCTGAGTTTCTGTATCAAGTTATGCAATGAGGGCACCAGAGTTGAAGGAGCAGGCAAAGAAGAAAAGTTAAGCTTCCTAAACAAAATGTAAAAGTGAACAAGTGACACAAACCTCAAGGGCTTATTGTGAAAATTAAAGAGACAATAGTTATGAAATACATGTGTTTCTCTCTCTGGCCTCTCAGATGACAATGGATATTAGGAGTCCATAAACATTTCAGATGAGAGGCGGCTATTCAAGAGAAACCACCTGGGTCCCGTAGGAAATGACCATGGAATTACAGGGGAAGGGACTCTGGGGGTTGTTGAATCTGACTTCTGGCTCACTGTCCATGCTGTCCCTATCAGGTGATAGCTTCTATAAGCAGCTTACAAAGGACCTTCCAAAGAAGACATTGCCACGACTAATATTCAGAAATGGAAAGATGAGGGATGAAACCAGTTATCTCTTTTTTAATTCTGAAATTGCTATGTTATGAAATAGTCCAACCAGGAACTAACCACTCTGAGTAACAATGATACTGATAAATGTTATCATAAAAGTGGTTAATAACTTTACAGACCAGTGGTACTTAACTTGGAGTCATTTTGCCTGCCAGCTGACATTTGGCAAGATCTGAACGTATTTTTGATGGTCACAACTTGTGAGATACTATTGGGATCTAGGAGATAGAAGCTAAGGATGCTGCTAAATACCCAATAATGCGTAGGACATCTCCCCACCCCTAAGAATGAAGTATCATCAGCCACCCCCGCCCCCACCAGATCAATAGTGCCAATGTTGAAAAATGCTGCAATTTACAGGATTTTAGGATTATACCTAATTTAATAGCTGTGTAACCTTCGACAAGTTTGTTAGCCTCTCTCAGCCTTTCCCCATCTGCAGAATGGTAATTATCGCAGTATCTACTTGAAACCTGTAAAACACTTTGTATATGGAGCTTATTTTGATTCCTTTCATCCTCAGCACAGCCCCCTGACTTAAATAAAGCAGGCTTTTGAAAGTTTGTTTTACAAATGAAGAAACAGAAGCTCAGAAAAATCAAGTGGCTTGCTCAGGATTTAAAGCTATAAAGTTCAATGATGGGCTTAGGAAGAAACTGATTCCTATTGCATGCTTTTACAGATGAATGAGATAAAACTGCAAAGGTTCAGGGACTTTTAATCTTCATTATTCTTTCAATTCCCAAAGATTTCTTTTCTTTTGCATGCCTGTGAATTTGAACTCAAGATGAAGAACAAATATATGAGACTGAACTCATTAAATTAAGTAACAAAACATGTAGTCCTCTCAAAAAGAAAACTTTAAAATTTCAACTATTATGTTTTTCTTCATCTCTAGTTTTTATAGTTCCACCTGCCAGGTACATTATGCATTTTTTGCAGGACTTAATAACAAGAATCTGCAGTCATCCTTGGGAATAGATAATGTACAATGCATTTTAGCTTCTTTTTATTTAAAACACCACAAGTTAACATTTCAAGTGCTGATTTTGTGTTCTCTGGCTTTTACCCATGACAGGAAAAATTACTTTCCCTAACTGCCATCTATTTTAAGGGAGTATAATTTTATTTTGTTCTACTACACTGAGAAAAATCTCTATTTCATCATTTTTAGTTTTATTCCCCAAAGTAAACATTTTAAAGCTTTTCAGAGGATATGAGTACAGTTACAGCTTCACACTCCATTGTTACATTACTGAAATATATAGTTACAGAATTATAAGTAATTATTAAAAACTAGGGAAAACAAGGCTATTTCATGTTGGCTATGAGGTCTGACCCTCCGAGTTCCCTGAATCTGGGCACGTGGGAATGAAAAGGGCAAGAGAAAGTGAAGACATCTAAATATAACGTCTCTGCTTTGAGTCACCATCTAAAAACAGTCTTCTTAAACCACAATGAACAGGGCCAGGCTGATGTAATAGCTGACCAACTGTTAAGTTTGTAATGCTTCAACACATTTGTTAAACACTTTTCAATGTTCTTTTATCTTAGTTAACAAATTTATATTATTAAGTTCTATTCCTCAACACAGAGTTGGAATTTCAATCACTAAAAAGGTATGCTGGCAAGGCAGGCCACACAAGATAAAATCAGCATTTTGTAAAAAGCTACATAACTGCTTTAGGGTATGCTAAACAAGACAGATAAAACTGTATAATACTGGAAAATGTGAGTTTCATAATAATTGCAGACTTTCTTAGAAAAGACACTTTAGAATAAGTAGCAAAGCCATACACAACTATTCCTTTAAAAGGGTGTTGTAGACTTAAAAAAGTAAATATATAAAACTATGCATTAAATATGTATTTTTGTCTAAGTATGGCTCACATTCAGTTATGTTCTGAAATAGCATGCTTTTATGACATGGAAAAGAGAATTTATACTTTCTATTATAAACTACAGTTTCTAGGATCACACTTCATTTACAAAATAAAATAGACAATGTAGATGTAAATATAAAATAATTCTGCCAAGCATTTACAATATATATTTGGCATCTGAAATAACACGGGGATCCAGTAACTTTTGCTAACTCACTAATTCAGCATCCATCAGGCCCACGCTGATGACGCACACACTCAACTTTCTGAGTTGGGTGAACAGTGTAAGATACTCCTTCCTCCAGCTGGCAGGCTGGCTTCATTCCCTCAATTCATTCAACATTAAGTGTTATCTCCCAGTGTCTGTCCCACCACAGAGCACACCGGGAAGGCATTCCTTTAAGGTGCTCACACAAAAATGGGGAGAAGAGTCAAGTAACGAGGTGATACAATGCCACAAGTTTAAGGCAGATGCTTGTGCCTTCTGGCAGAAAAAAGGCTACTTGTGAGTTATGAAAGGAAGGGAGATTTCTGACACAGCACCCTGAAAAAGGTAATTATTACTCATATTCTGGACACTGTGTTGGCAAGGAGAGGCAAGAAAGCCTGGCATGGCAGAGAGTGGCATGTCTGTTTTCCTGCTAAGAGGTGCTGCCCTGCTGAACAAATAAGCAGCACCAAAGAAAGGATGGAACAAAAGATGTGAGAAGCCACATAGTGAGGAAGAATGCCCTGTCCCTCTACAATGACAATTATGTGTGTTCTTGACTGGGGATGGGAACATCACACAAAGGGAACATCAGTGCAGTCTTCCAACTCCAGAGTTTCTGCACACACTCTGGAAGAGCCTTTAGAGAGCAGGAGAAAATGCAGTAAGGAGGCTGTCTGTAAATTAATTTCAATCTTTACCCTATTACTTTATGTAAGCCATGCATGCACTATAAGAATTTATGTATAAATAAAAGCCTGCTATTTTCATCTTTCTGGAAACCAGTTAAATAAGCACAACTATGTTTTGTACTGGATATCTAGGTGAAATGCCAGCGGTCGGTAAGTTCCAGAAGAGAGACGTGTGTAGGGAAATGAGGACTGATGCCTCTTCCTCTTCGGGTGAGGCTGAAAACACAGAAAAATGCAACCTTTGCTGGGTCTTGATCCTATTCTTCCACAAACCAACTGAGCCCTAGACATAATCTTCTCATCACTTCTTTCGGAATGAATGGATTATGAAAGTAACGGTGGCACCGGATGGTGCTGTGTTGTGAACAAGCAGTTCTGGTGTGATCACCGAGACTCCCAGGCTCATAAAGCAAATCCAGTAACTTCACTAATGACAGCAAGCCCATGGGGCCAGTGTTTCTTGACAATAGTCTTTTGGTGTTACATAAAAATATACTGCCTCAAGCACCAAAACGTATTTGTTAAAGGACATTCTATGATCCCAATGTGAGTGGGTGTTAAAATGCATACTATAAAACAGTGCTACCTACTGCAATAAATACACAATCATTCACAAATCAAAATGGCCTTTCAATTTCTCACTCCCACGGACTAGCTTCATGAGGGAACTTGGCAGAAGGGAACCAGTGGCACCACCGCTGCCCTGGACAAGGATGCTGCTGTGAGAATCACCACTGCCCTGCTGGCGACGTCTCCGACCACAGTCTTTTCAGAAACAGAGCAGTAGAGTTCAGAAACGGAGCAGTCC